TAGGAAGTTGAACCATTTGCCGGAATCGACTCCATATGGAGAATGGAACCCTCATGACAAGGCGAGGCTGCATGGGACTATAGGTGCTCACACATTGTGCCATTCTAGAGGGAATACAAGTTTAGACTCTCAAGTTACAACTTTTCTATCCTTACTGTTATCATCGCGTAATCTCCTCAAAGCCGATTCCCCTTTTTATATAGGAGGCTTGTGTCTAAAGCACCTCCTACACTCATATATTTATTGTTTTAACTGATTTAACGGTCGGAGTGCACGCAACCAGCTCTACTACCATTGAAGGAAGCCACCTCTGGCTAATGGATTCTCTTAATGTGCAAGAATCGGGCTTATGTGGACGTGGAATGCCTTGGGATCTGTTGGCCAAATTTTTGAAGGTACAAAAATCGAGGTCAACGGAATAGAAGGAAATTAAGAGCCGTCCTGAGAACCGAAAGACGGAAAAAAGAGGACGGAAAAGAGGAAAGAATGAAGTAGCCTCTGTCGCTCTGGTGGCACAAAGCTGCAGCTTGAACTTTCCATAAGCACAAGATTCAGTAAAAGCTGTTACTTGAGCGGTGTAAGGTTGCTGCTCGAGCAGGACATAAACAGGCAGCCCACTGGTCTGTGTTAAGTTTGTAGTTTCAGGAGTCTTTTCTCCATTGTTTTCCCGAAATTTTGGGACTTTATTGCAAACCTTTATATATTTAAACTCTTGTACTTCATCAGGTTATACTCTTTTAAGAAAAAAACACGTAAGATACGTTGAAAACATAACTTCGAATAAGAGGATTAACTTGAAGCTTTTTCCGGATTTTTCTGAAGAGGCTGAAGATTCGAGACAAAGTATAGCTTTTCTTTAATCTTGTCTATTCCACATGTGATTTTTACTAATTAAGTCAACAACGTGTTTTAGTAATTTGACGGTGTTATATTCTACATAGTTAGGACAACGATGTAATCGTGTTTTGAGACTTTATTTTGATTTTTCTCGTTTTAGACTAAATTTATGGTTGTGAATGTTTGTTAAGTACTTAATGCTTTTAATTACTCGACTAATATTTGAATAAATTGCGAATAAAGATACACTTCAATACTTTAGTTGATCTTTTATTGAAGGTTAATTTTTTTAAAATTTATTTTATATATTTGTATCTTTCATAGAGATGTCTAGCCCTACTCGAGATACAACGTTTGACAAAATAGGATCTTTGGTAATCAATCAATTGTGCTATGGTGGATTGCAGAAAATTGAGATTAAAAATGAAAAAGCATATGGGTGGGAGTCGAATTCATAGTGCCCTTTAAAAAACGAATTTTCTTCTAGATTGTCGAATCTCATTGACATGGCTTTCTTTATTCAATTTTAGCAGTCTTTAGTAAAATAAATTTGAACTCAAAAATTGGGTTAAAAGAGTAATTGATAAAATTAAATATGCAATCCTCATAGATGATACTTGACTCATTGGATTTTGTTATTTGTACATTGAAATTTTCACAAAAACTTTGCCAAGATAAAATAAGAGCATCAAATGTTTGTAGAGAAAAGAGATAAAATAAAAGTGGCGAATCCTTGCAAATCAGATAATTTTATTCAAAGTAAAGAAAAGAACCCAAAATAAAGGAAGCCTTGGAAAAGAAAGTTGACAAATTCTCGTGGTGTCTGCAAAATTTTTTGGGAAAATTTTTGGTTAAAAATTAAGCTACGGTCTCATATATATTGACGCTGCTTGCTACTGTACTTGGTATGTGACAAAGAGAAAAATTTATCTAGCATCTAATATTTTTGTTTCTTATCAGTTTGCTTTTGGAAAATATATCCACCGTACTACCCAAAAAAAAAAAAGAAAAGAAAAAAAAATCTTAAAGGAAATAAAATATTAGGTGATATAAGTTTGCCTTAGCAAATTGTCCTTGCCTTCTTAAAATAAGAAGTTGTTTGACAACTTTGGAGGCAAATTTGGATGTTAGGTGCTCGTGTTTTGCAAGGGAAAATTTAGGTTAAAATGTAATAAAATATCTCCATAACTTGACGTGGTTATTTCTTTTTTGTGGAAGTGATTTGAAAGGAAAAATTATATGCATAGCATCCTTATTTTTCTTGTTCTCTTTGTGGGTTGTTCAAAGAGGACTTATGGGGGTTTGATTGAGTAAAAATTACGTGCTTGTACAAATTTTTATATAATGGAAAAGTTTTGATAGTCCATAATTTTGTCTATCAATATATATATTATTATGTCTCATTATTTTCATTATTATTATTATTATTATTTTTTATTTGTTTATTTTTTTTTGGAACAAGGATCTTGTGGACAAGTTTAAAATGTGGTATCAAAGCATTAGATCATTTAGAGTGTTGAAAAACGAAGAAGATATGTGAAGTGGATAAATTAATATTCAAAGGATCAATTTTGTCTTTTGACAATTACAAGTCAAGGTCTTGTTGATTCAATATGTACTAACACATAATTTTGAAAGGAAGAGCAATCCAATCAAGTATAAATAACTTGGTTGCGTTAGGACCGTTCGAAATGTGGAGTAGACTCAATTAATTGCTCAAACTCAGTTGAACATGTCTTTACATCTTTGTGGGAAGACGATAATTTCGTTTGAATAAGATGTGCATCCTTATGCCATGCATTAATTGTCTTGATAGAGGACGTGTCACTAGAGCAGTCACATGTTTGCATGCTTGCTTTGGCTGGACATTAATACAAATATGTGATGGGCTCTTAGGAAAGTCAAACATGAGTTGCATCATAGTTTTTTAACAAGTTTGTTCAACATGAGTCAATGAGATATTTTGAATTTTTCTTTAATTTGAAGTGATTATACTCATATGATGATATATGCTAGCTGTAGAACAAAAAATAGAGTTTTGGTTCTTTTTTTCAAAGTGGAGATTGTTCAGAAAATATTTTCTCAGAAGTTGTTAAAAGAAAAAAATATATTAATATCAATTCTTAACAATCTGTACAAAGAATTTAGGTGTCGTAAAGCCTAGGTAATATTTCCCTACCATATTTGAGGATTTAGGTGAGTAAAAACTCCATATAATTGTAACAATTTCTACTGGAATATTTGTGAATTTAACAGTTTGTAGTTTTTTTTCTCTATTTTTTTTTTTTGGAATTTTCATGTAAATTATATATTTTTTCCATCTATTTTATTTTTTTGGCTTCTTCATGTGGAAGAGTTATGAAATTGGCCTAAATTCGCAACATTTATACAAATGACAGTATGTCAAAATTCAATTTAAATTCTCCGTTGAATTTTCTAATAATACAAAGAATTAAATAAATGAAAATTCTTGTAAATTTCTCTTAATTTTATTATTATTAATTTTTATTTTTATGGATCCATCAACTCATTTAGAGAGTTCAATTATCTTTGTCCTCATTTATGTCTATTGTTCGAACACATTGTATTAATACATCTTCACTTGCGAATTAGTCAACATTTTTCACAAATTTTATATCAAGAAAAAACTTATTTTCATATTTCTTATTCTCTATTAATTTCAAGCCTACTTCTTGAAAAATAATAAGTTTTTTACTAACATCTGTATTTTAGAAGTGACATGAACAACTAAAACAAGAGCGATCATATTTTTATTCGCAAGGCCTAAATAGAAATTATCAAAGAAAAATTAATGAATTAATCTAGTGGTATATATCGGGATGTACCTAAGGGTGTACTCCTCTTCACATGGGGTGTGGAGTTCACCCGAATAAATAGGTACACCCCTATGTACCACTAGCACTACCGAAAATTATTTGAAAAGAAAAAAAATGAAGGAATAAAGTAATAACCTGGACTAGACCCTTTCGGTCATGCTATTCTTTTAGCCGCCCAAACTACTTAATTAATTGAGGGATAAGATTAAAAAGAATTTAAAGAAAAAAATATTCATACAAAACCAAGTCCACTATCCCCCCGCAATACCTACTAAATATTTTAACACAATTAACAGCTCATTAAGGGACTAATTTAATTATATTTTAATTGCAATTAGCAAAGCATCTTAGACTAATGATAAATATGATATATAAAATATGATTATAGACAAAATGATGATTAATTTTAACTCAAAAAAGTGGATAAAACATAATAATCATATTTTTTATATCCTATCTTTTGTCATAAAAAAATAATAATTTGTGGTCATATATGATTGCCACAAATTGAATATAATTATAGAATTAGTTAGAATATTTTCTATGACAACGCAAATGGATTAAAGTATTTGTGCCACCATTTGCTTATGTTTGGGCGGTGCTACATAGAGAAGTACTTATCATTTGAAGAGTCTTTTTGTTTCATTATATTCGATTTTAGATTATAATAGAATTATCTTTTTTGATCATATCGATATTAATAAATTCAATGTAATAAAGATGACATATGATAGTGTTGGCTCGACTCAATTTAAAGAATATTTATACCCTTTTAACGCCCAATTTCGAAATATAAAAATTTGCATATTGCCCATTGTTATTGACTTGAGTCTATTAGTATAGTATCAAAAGATTTTAGGTTTTATTTCAATCTTGTAAGGGAACAAAAGTGCATAAACATTATTTTTAAATTTAAAAAAAAAAAAAGAAAAAAAAGAAGCTAAAATTCAAAACCAAACTGAAAATAAAAACAATTATTGAATTCAAAAAACATATTTACCTTTATTAAAGGAGAAACACTCTATTAGATAATTTAGATTTCATCAGAGCTCTCTTAATAAAATAGGATCCTTATGAGTTGATCCTTACGAGTAAAAGAAAGGAAATATACGAATAAATTAATGGAACAACCAATGAAACAAATACCAGTCACAACCATAAAAATGGTCGGTTAATCAAATATTTATTATTTATGAACAATAATTTGTGGGCCCCATTCTCAATTTTCATCCTCCCATTACGACGGGCCTCGTTCGTAATTCAACTTGGTAACCCTCGTACAAGGCATTTGCATTAGTCCACTATAAATAGAAGCCACCAAATAAGATTAGCATAGGATGCAAAACTAAGAAACTAAGCACGAAATAGGTATTTTCCTGAGCTCTTAGAGATAAAGAAAAAGTGCAAAAACTTCGAAAGAAAATGCCTTTCTCAAGAATTTCGGTCGGAAGTCCGGCGGAGGCCAGCCATCCAGATACCCTGAAAGCCGCCTTAGCCGAATTCATTTCAATGGTAATTTTTGTATTTGCCGGTGAAGGCTCTGGCATGGCTTTTGGTAAGTACTTGTGCCCTCATATTAGTTTTACAATTGTTCTTCCTTGACAAAATTATTTGCTTACTTCCTTGACAAAATGACACTTGGTATTCAATCATTAGACTGTTTAAAAAACAGTTAGTTTTTCACCCAATCATCTGCTGCCAACGTTGTATCTATTAAGTAGGTGGGCGGAAAATTATGTACAAATGGCTCAATCCTAAGTTCTAAACACTTGTCCTTTATTCTATTCAATCTCATATATAATCATTTTTTCTACAGCCAAGCTTACAGACGGTGGATCGAGCACGCCGGCTGGCCTTATTGCTGCGGCGATAGCCCATGCTTTCGCACTTTTTGTGGCAGTCTCGGTTGCTGCCAACATTTCCGGTGGTCATGTAAACCCTGCAGTCACCTTTGGTGCCTTTGTTGGTGGTCACCTATCATTGTTTAAAACTATTTTGTATTGGATTGCCCAATTGCTTGGAGCTATTGTTGCATGCTTGCTCCTAAAGTTCTCCACCGGTGGCTTGGTAAGTAATTAATTCCTCAAAGCTATATTATTACACATAAAAGTTCTTCTTCATCATTTTTCTGAAATGTCGAAGAAGAACGAATGATGCGATTTCATTAGAATTCTTGAAAAAAAATAAGGAAAATTCAAATTAATCTCTTCTACAGGAAACAAAAATAAAAGCAAAGACTATACCAAACGGACCCTTAGAATCCCTGGCCTAGAGCATGTTTGGCTGGCTAAGCTTCAAAAGAAGTAAAAGTTAATTTTCTTTTCAAACATGTTAATAGAACTTATTTTCCTTAATTTTAAGTAAAAGAATTATTTATTTAAAAGAAAATTTTACGCATAAGAACCTTCCATGTTTTCAATCTCCAAGAATAAAAAATTGTCCATTACAGAACTTACTTATTTCCATGCTTTTGTGTTTGACCTGAACTCAAATTTTGTCTTGTTACATCGTGCAGGAAACTTCCGCATTTGCACTTTCAACCGGGGTATCGTCGTGGAATGCCCTTGTTTTCGAAATAGTGATGACGTTTGGCCTGGTTTACACAGTTTATGCCACAGCAGTAGATCCAAAGAGGGGTGATATAGGTATCATAGCCCCTATTGCCATTGGCTTCATTGTGGGTGCCAACATTTTGGCTGGCGGTGCCTTCGACGGTGCATCCATGAACCCAGCCGTGTCGTTCGGCCCTGCAGTCGTCAGCTGGACATGGGACAGCCACTGGGTGTACTGGCTTGGCCCATTTGTTGGTGCTGGAATTGCTGCTATTGTCTATGAAATCGTCTTCATTAACCAGACCACTCATGAACCACTCCCCTCCAGTGAGTACTAAGTTTAAACTAAGAAAATCTGTCTTTGTAATCAAGTTTGCTGTCTTTGTTGTCACCAATCTGTCCTTTTTAAGGAATCAGTTGTCGTCTCTTTGTTCAAGTGTCAAGTTGCAAGTTTTTAAACTCTTCGAACATAGAATTTTGTAAAGATCAACTGAATGTTCAATCCACACCGAACTCGATATCTATATATGAACATGATCAGAAAGTAAAATAATATCGAAGACAAAATTCAATAGATATTAACAACTATATGAAATTCGTTATATATGTCAAGTAGCGATCGATTGATCGAATTCTCAAGCGAATTGGTCTAGTGATAAAACATGAATATTTCTATATATGCAGGGGCGGACCCACATGGGGTCATGTGGGGGTCAGATGACCCCACAAAATTTTGGGATTTTTTTTTCCAAAAAATGGTTGTTTTAACTCGTTTTCGACCCACTTTAATACATACCAAATGGAAAACGAAATATTGCATTTTTAATATCATTTATAAGTATTCATGGCCTAGTTTTTCGTTTCTTAATGGTGTTTGAAATGATCGACTATAGCAAAAGATACGATTTATTAAATTTTTGACCCCCACAACCCAAAACGGTTGGGTTCGCCCCTGTATATATGACTGGGTAAATTTCATCCATGGTTAGGAAAATTTAATCAGCTCGTTAAATTTTAATTTGTCGAGATTAAATTACTAAACTTTAATTTAATTTCAATTTAGTTTCAAAGTTCACTTCTTAGCCATTTATTACCTTTCAAATTGATGAAAATTATTTAATTGATGGTCTATGTTACAATTGATGCCCACATAATCGTTGTGTGGCTAATTATCCACAGTTTGGGCTCTTCAATGTCCCAACTATGTAAATTGTTTCCTTCTTTCTCGCTCTATATTTTCTGCATTAGGCCAAAAAAATGAAAATGCAAACCTTGTTAAAATAAGGGGCAATTACAAAAATACACTAAAAAGTAGGAATGTTTCAAAAATGGGTAATTAACACAAAACGTCATTACCTTTCAATTTTATTGTGCAAAATATCTCTGTCTTTCATTTTATTTTATTTATTTATTTATTACATTTCCACCCCTACTTTAAATTTCATTGCGAAAAAAGGTTATTTTCATTCAATTTCTCAATAAAAGAAAGGTCCTTTCAACTCAATTTTACTTTTGTTAAAACAATTTGGAATTATAGTTGTACTTTGTCCTTTATTTTTATTTTTTATTTTTGTTTTATTTAAATAGGAGGATATATATTCATCATTTTATAACTATTAATTGAAAAAATGGATGGAAGTAATGTTTTCGCAATGAAATGTGAAAACAAAGGTAAAAATGCCAAAAAAAATTAAATGTCTATATTTTGCACAATAATATCAAAAGTTGGGGACATTTTGTGTTAATTACCCTTCTAATAATTTATTTTGGACTTATTCGCAGTTTTTAAAAAAGTTTGAAAGTATGATTGCAATTTGTTCTTTAATTTTTCTTTTTTTTTAAAATTTAAATAGAAGGGTATATTTGTCATTTTACATTTTTTTTATTGAGAAATTGGATGAAAAGTACATTTTGCACATTAACATTGAAAATATGGGTGAAAATGTTAAAAAATAAAATTTATTGACGTTTTACACAATAACATTAAAAAGTAAGGACGTCTTGTGATAATTACCCTTTGAAAAATCATTATAAAATTGCTAAAAATAATTTAAGAGTTTTGTTACAGAAACAAGGTGAAATACATGGTTAAAAACAGTTTGCACACATATTGATGCATGATTGAAGAGATTGAATTTATTTTTTTTTAAAAAAAAGAAGCCAACAGCTTGTTGACACATTAGCCTGTTTTTTATTCCCTATCTTTTTGTCTATTTGTTTATCATTACAAATAATTTAAAGGGAAAATTTTATAAGTAAGAGACCAATTATGACACATTTCAAAAACTAGAAAACAAGCTTCAAATTTAAAAAATTAGATTAAAAATTATTTATAATTAAATTAATTAATTATTTTAGAAATTAAATATACTTAAGTCACAAATTTATATAATTTGGTTACAAATTAACAATTTAATTCGTCACTTATTATTTTTTTTATCACAATTCAAAAATTTTATAGGTTATAGTTTGTTCATCGGTCACAAATCGAAAAATTGATAAGTCACGATTTATAAATTATAAATATTATAAGTCACAACTTATTATATAATCACAAATTATCAAATTATTGATCACATATTAACAATTTATCAGGTCACACCATACTTTTTGATCACAATTTATTTGTTTCATTGGTCACAAATTAACTAATTTAATGATCACAGTCAACCAAATAATTTGTGACCACCACTAATACTTACGATTCATAGTCACAATTTTTAAGTCACGTATTTAATTGTGAGTCATAAATCAACCAAATCGCCATGACCACCACAGCTACCACCACGACCAACTATGACTCCCAATTTGTGAGTTACAATTGGAAGTCGCAATCATGATTTTCAAGTCACAAATCCAATTTTGAGTCATAGTCACAATTTTCAGCATAGCCAACATTGCTACCACCACAGCCAGTACCACGTCCTCTACTACCACCGAAACCCACTCCGCAGCCAGATCTAACAAAAATGAACAAACCGCAACTGCCCAAAATCATCACCCTACCACCACGACCACGACCACGATCAACATCATCATCAATTCTCTGAACGTCAACAGCACCACCACCTCGCTGTCGTCACCACCACGACCTGCAACTACCAACATCTCACCCTCACCACCGCCACGACCCCTACCGTCGGCCACCATTCCAAACACCATTGCACCTGCGCATCCACCAGATCCACCATCATGCCACCACACACCTTCACCGTCGTCTCACACAAAATCATCACAACCTCACGCCATCGCCATCGCCGCCGCTGCACACACACCACCCCAACCACCACAGATCGCGATGGGCAGTTCCTTCTATTGTGAGATCTCCTTAGATCGTCACCAGTTTGTCGAAGCTGCGATGGAGCAGCTCTCTATCGTCGGTTCTTCACTCGTCAGGCAATTGAGAGAGAGAGGGAGAGATGTGATAGAGAGAGAATCAAGGGGGGGGGGAATGAAAGTGGAGAAAAATTAGGGTTTGAAATTATTATTTATTAGATTAATTTATAAATATATTAATTAATTAAAAAACTTTTCGATTTGTGAAATATTAAACATGGCATCTTATTTTTGAAATGAAGATTTTTAATCTATTAGAATCTGTAATTTCCACTAATTTAAAGCACTATCAGTTACGGTTTTAAGGCCCATATGGTACAGATTATAGAACTTCAACCTATAGGCCACACTATCTTCTTTAAATTTACCATTAAATACAAAATCAATTCAATTCAACTCTGCTAGGTTCTTCTTCAATTTTGACATAATTCAGAAGTTGCATATCTAATTTCAAGTATTACAATAAAATTTACTTCTTCTTTATGAATTTTATTTACCAGATTTTGAGTTTTCAAATGCTTATTTTCATATTTCGGTAATGATTTCATCTTCCATTCCAGTTTCATTCTTCTATCACAATTAGAAGTCATTTTTCCAGGCAAATTGCCAACATCGTCTAATTTGCTCAATGTTGCTGTAATTTTATAATAGATTTAAGATTTTTAAGGTTTTGTTTGTGTTCGTATACATGAAAATTCAACTTTGAATCCATGGTGGTGAGTTAGGTTTTTTAACTCCAGGGAAATTTGGTCATTACGTGCGTGTGAAAGTCAACCATAAAAATGCAATACAAAATGTTTATATGAATATGAAATAAGGTTCTGCATTAGGTGACATGATGTGATATTTTATGAGTGTTTTATCATTTTTTAGGTGAACCATGTCAATTTTTATTTATATTTGTGAAGGATGTTGGGAGAAATCAAATGGGTGAAGACAAAGTTAATGGGGGGTAATTTGGAATCAAATATACATCTTAAAATATATTTTTAGTAGATGAATTTGATTTTTATTTTTGGTTATAGTTTTGAGTTTTGAATTATATGTTCCATAGTAAATTTTATGTATATCACTTTTTAAAGTTTTTTGAAAATATAGTTAAAAATTAATCTAATTTACTCATGTATCTTTTTCGAATGTTCGTCCCTTTTTATTTATTATTTTGTGAAAGATGGTGAGAAAAGTCAAATTTTGGAGGACAATATATTGTGACTGGCTCGAAGTCGAGGGTATTTGTAGTATTTTGAAATTTTTTTTATTCTTATTCTTATTATTATTTTAAATTCATGCGACATGTTGTGTTGGCCACTTTTGAGGAGATGTATACCGCTTTATATTTATTTTTGTCTAGGATGGCACGAAGAATTTAAAAAGTTGTATGCCCTGCCACTTTTCAATCAGAAGGTGACATTCTTTTTTCCGTTGCCGGGGATTGAAGGTGACATACTATGTAATTAAATTTCTTTAATAAAACATTATTATTATTATTATTATTATTATTATTATTATTATTATTTATTTATTTATTGAAATCCAAGTATCCACCTTATAGTGACTAAATCTTGGAGTCTACACCTTATCCCCTCAAACTGCAGACAGGTTAAACCGCAGGTTGTTCTCCAAACTGACCAGTGCTCAAGAGCCCCCCAACTAATCTGCAAAAGTGCCAAACAAGTCGTTTACCATCTTTGCACCTTGCCTTCCAGGAGAATATCTGCCTTCCAAGAGTTTTCTAGGAATCGAACTCACGACCTCTGATCTGTCAGCTTTGAAGCGCCCTCATCTTTGTCAGTTGGGATGTGCCCTAGA